GAGCCTCTGGCCAGAGGGTAGGGGTATGAACAGTCTGTGCTGGGGGTGTGTTGGATCTTTGAGGATGGAGGCAGCTTTCCTACACTACCTGCGGTGGTAAATGCTCTGCAGAGAGGGAAGTGGAGTCCTGGTGATCTTCTCCACAGTCTTTACCACTCTCTGCAGGCTCTTGCGGTCCATAGCAGTAGTGCTGCCATACCAGACAGTGATGTAGCTGGTCAAGATGCTCTTAATGATGCAGCTGTAGAAGTTGCAAAGGATCCTAGGCGACATGCCAAACCTCCTCAGCCTCCTCAGGAAGTACAGCCACCGTTAGATGCCTGTATATGGTCATATGAATGTCTGACGTGGGAGCTGCTTACACACTCTTGCCCCCAGCTTGTCCATTTCCTACTTTTCCACCATTGTGCCATGGACATTCGAGTTTTGCCATAGTTGATGGTGACATCATCTAGCAAAAGCCTGCACTGACCAATTACGTAATGGTGATGGTCGGAATGTGGATGCCCATGTTAAGAAACCTCTTTTGTTTATCATGTTGGCATGAGCATTGACTGCTATTCACTCTCAAATTTGAGCCTCAGTCAACACACCATAACAACACACTGCGTGTTTTTGTTAGTTATGATGCTGGATGTTAAATGGTGTTTTTTTATCTATCAATGCCAACACACTGGTGGCAGAAATTGGTGTTAGCACAAAGTAGGCTATGTTAGCAGTATGGCTAACCAAAACACAACAGAAACCTTTGGGCTGGAACTGTGAATGACGCCACTCTTGTCGATGTGGCCATATTGTACACACCTACAACATGCTCCCTGCACCCCCTCCCCCCTCAACGCAGCCCCTAGAGGAGGTTCTGGAATGAAATGATTCCCACAGTGACCAGTGCGTTTGTAGTAGTTTCCAAATGAAGAGAACAGATAAGAGGCAAAACCTTATTTATTGTGTGTTTGTAGTGACCAAAAAAATCACATCAAAAGACATGAAATTGCAAGAGTAAATTACAAATGACAAGTGCGAGTGATACATTATATGTTATTCATATACTAATTTATATTACATTTTTTATACCATTCATATATTCAATTTCTTTCATAAATTTTGTTCATATGTAAATGAGGTGCCAGGTCTGTCAAAATAGGTGCCAGTCACAATTTGAGGAGTGCCGGATCTGGCTTGTTCTGTCCGGTACAAATTAACCCCTGTGTATACCTCATTTCACTCCATCCAATATTGGTGGGTTATGTCACTAAAAAGCACAAATGTGAAACTTGTGGTGCTGCTAGAGGAGAACTCACAGGAATCAGCACAGCAGAAATACTGAAACACTCACAATTGCAAAATTCATTAGCAAGTCCTACAACATTTCAGTCTGGACCAAAGTGGTAGGTAGACTGACTAACATTTGTGGGTGTGGTGTATGAATGTTAATACTCTGTAATAATTCTTTAATATATTACTTGTGTGGTGTAGAAGATAAGTATTTAAGAATGTAATTATGTAAGAATGTTAACACTCTGTTATAATTCTTTAGTATATTACTTGTGTGGTGTAGAAGAGAATTATCTATGTAGAGATACTGCTTGCAAACCAATGATGGTAAGATGATGTCATGGGGTAGGACTGGATAAGTCTGACTTCTTCCTACTCCATTCAAGCATGTACTAGGTATAAGCAAATTGATAATGGATTAGCATTTGTTGGATATGTGTAAAATTATGTGTGTTGATATGTCAACTGTCTTTACATGCTTGAAAGAATAAATAAATCAAATAAATCAAATCAAATCATTGCCATTCTTAGTCATTCCACTAGCATGACTAAAAGAGTTTGCTGTAGTGTTTCGGGCCTACTATACATGCACAGCATGGGGCAGTAAGTAGATTTCTTCTTCTACTGTCACTCCAGCAGTGTACATTGTGTTTGTCTCAGCACCTATGATGTAGAAGAAAATTGCAGCAATCAAGCACAAGTATAAGTGGTTCTGGCTCTGTGTTGACATTACAGCTGGCGCACACCATGGCCTATTTGTCGAGCATAACTGCACTTTATGGAAATGGTATAAAACATTAAACATTCACA